ACCGACCTTCGAATCTCTTCACTTAACACTTTCACTCGAAATGGAAGTAAGCTCAACAATTATGAAACAAAAGATTCTTCGAAACCCAACGTTTCTTCGCATAAAAGGTCTCAGTCTGTCTATCCTTGAGTAAATAATCTCCATGAGTGATGTCCACTCTATTTCGTTTAAGGTGATAAAGGACTTGTAGTTGATTTTCCCACTACACCACATAGCCACAAGTGCCCTTGAGTCACAGGCCATTTTACATCACATTTTGTGTTTTGATTGTCTAAGAGGCAAACTTATATTTGCTATAGAAAGCGTCGGCAATACTTTTTTGTAAATGAGTAGATTTTCGAGACGACCAGTAAATCAGATATGAGTTGTGTTCACTCTATTTCGTTTAAGGTAATGAAGGTCTGGTAGTATAATTTTTCCACACTGATCTTAGTAGATCTGACTTTTCCATTGAACTCATGCATGCGAATATGCTTCTAGTTTGATACATGTCCTACTCATATCATGGTGGTAAAATCCAACTGAGTCCTTCATCACCTTAAACGAAATAGGGTGACAACTCATTTATCTGATTTACTGGTAATCTCGAAAACCTACTCAAAACTAAATATAAGCAGTCTCTGTTTGACAATTCATTCCTCATTAAAGGTTTATATGTTTCACCCGTTTCAATTCAAATGGTTACTATCCCCTAATCGCATACTTCTAATAATCACTAACTCTAAAATCCAACCTTTGTTTTGTAACTAGGGTTAGAAAGTAAATTCCGAAAGGAATTAACCTATGCTAGCTTTCCATAAACATCTTTCCCTAACTTACCCTCTTCTATAATGACCAGAACATCGAAAATGGTTAAGGACCTATTATCTTCTATTTTAATTATGAACTTAATATTCATTTCACGTGGTTAAGGGCAACCAGGAAACAATCTGAGCTTTCCTTACCATGTTGCCAGATTAAGAAATAGTTTTAGAGATATTAAACCAACAATTTGAGGGTAAGTATTGCCTCTTTCAATAAGTGTTTCTCAAGTTTGGTAATGAAGTTGTTTGCTAAAATGGGAGCCAAGCAAGATCCCATCGCAAGTCCAAGTGTATGCTCATAAAACTGTCAAAAGTAAAATAATTGCTACTTATGAGTAGGTTAAGAAGTATATGTTTGGACGCTATAATCAACCTTATTCTTTGTGTGATCTCTGGATCCTCCTCCAAAGTGTGTACTAGGGCCTAAATGGCTTCTTAAATAATAATGTTTGTGTACGTAGACACAACATTAAAAATTTATCCTGCATTTCCTTCTCTGAAGTTGTTGGCTGATTAACCAAGTTTACAAGCTGATGACAATTTTTTTACTGAATTAGGTCATAAGTCAGCTACTTTCCTCAAATGTATGCATAAAATCACGATATTTTATAGATCACGCTTCCTTTATTATTAGGCCATTCATCTTCTATTCTTCTATCTCACCATTACAAATGCACACCTTAGGGCATCCTCCAGCTTAATTTTAAGTCCTTTAGTTGGATCTCTCAGTAAAGGCTTATAAGCATCTGTGTGGATCAAATGAATTATCATATTTTCTAAATAACTTGACATATCCATGAGTATCACTACTACATCTTTGCCTGCCTTCATAGCATTTAGATTATTTTCGGCTAAATATCTAGAAACTCTACTGAGAACACAATATTTCTTTAGCATGACGATCTGACCAAAATGCGGTATCACCTCTTTTTTAATATTATTCTTAACTTCCCCAAGCAACCTATCCGATAAGCTAATTAATTCAGCCATTACATTGAGAGGATCATTTACTAAACTTGGAAGAGTAAGATTCGATCTTCTTTCAAATGGTATTTCCACACTGTCCTCCAGAGCTATATCAGATGGATTACTTACCTCATCCTTCCAAATTGTTTACAAACATGATTATTACGACCTGCCTTAGTAGCAGGATCCCTCGATCTAATTCTACAAAGGGATATTTTAACAGCCAATAGTAGCGAAGCTGTTGACTACACTTCCTCATTACTTGATGCAAAAATGCCGCCCCAATTATAAAAAGAGTACGTTCTCCTTAATACTAATAGGAACTATCATAAAACTATGTCTCGTAGACTTATGCCAAATTTATTGGTTGCATGTGGTGATGAAAATGTATCATTTTTCTGTTCGCTCATTTATAAATAAAAGCTGATTAGAAGTTTTCGCTCCGTCGGATTCGCATGATGCCGAGCCGAAGACTTGTTCACACACTCTAACGGCAATCCTCCTTCGGTTTCCAGCGAGGTCGTGAATCACATATCCCTTTAAACCAACGTTTTTTTCTAAATGGAAAGCCGAATCTCGCTCAATCATTTAGGGATCGCCTAAATCTCAGCTCTTCTTCATTCGACACTTTTCTCTGCTTTTTAGTCGGTTGTTCAGTACGGCAGTCCAGTAAAGACATCCGCGGCTACAACAGGCGGCACTGCTTTAGAAGACTTTTCATCTCCCTGCCCTCCCCTCCCGTCTGCCCTCCATTCGGGCCAAACGCAGTCCGGATTTCCTTCGTCGTCCAACGATGCTGGAATCAGCGGCTGCGTCCAGGCCAGCGCAGGTTCCCAAACAGCATCTACCATAGCAACTGGGACGACAATGTCAGGCGCGACTACCACAACATCCGCAACATCCGGAGAGTCTAGTGGATACTTATCTTGTCCGGTCGACATCATCCCCAGTTGGCCGTCCGATCTGCTCACTGAATGGTGGCTGGCACCACAAGTCTATGGCGCTGGCTGCAGTGACTGTATCGTCGAGGGTGACATCCTCCGTCTGGGCGGTCCATTTAATCAGACTTGGCAGAAGAAGTATATGCGTCTTTTTCCCAATCGTTTGGAGCTCTACAACCGCACGAGAGAAGGCATTCCTCTAAAGGGTGTTGAGGTAGGCTCGGATCTACATCTTTTGTCGGTACATCTTTCCTTTCGTTTAATACGGGAAAATTCGTGAATTAGCCTCATCGGAAACCGAATAAATACTATCTTAGTTTTGTTGCTGTTAAGTTAAACGTAGCGCACAACTCTTCCCTTCCAAAGAATTCCCACTGAGTTTTCTTTTTTCCCTTCGCATCAGACTTCGTTGGAGCATGAAGCCATTCTTTGTTGTTTCGTCAAAAAAATTACTTACATGTTGCACCTGCAATGTCCATCTGCGTATGCTAATAGGATCCCGAAAATAAGAGAAGAAGATAGTCAAAATGAGGCATTAGAACAATGTACAACAATAAAAAAAACATTCTCCTCCGTAAAGCCTTTTTGTGAAGTTTCTGACTCTTGCTCCAGAACTATTTGGGTTGCGTGTGTCTTTGTTAGTGTATATGTGAACTGACCTGCCGAGCTATACATAAATGTCTCTCCGAACGCAAACCTGCAGACAAATGTTTGAGGGTCCAAAAGGAGGAAATTGTCGAATGCCTGGCTCGGACAGGCCACCAGATAGCCTGGTCTGAAGGTTTCGCAAGCGATGACTGTTTTATTGGTAAGCAGAGGCTTCAGAAGTCCATGGAAATAACCAAAGCCTTCAGGCTCTTGTAGGAATTTGACTGGGATTTATTTATAGACATCAGATAGGATCGGGGAAAAAGAGTTGGGGTAGACGGATGTCTGATTTGCCTTGAATCTGCTTGGGGGTCTTACGCCCAACATGACTCAGGCAATACATACGAACAAGCATGTGATTGTGGGCCAACATTTCAGGATCAAAATTTAAATAATTATGCTAAAGAAAGGGCTGTTTGGTCTCACATCCATCCACTTCACTCATCCGCAAGTATGCGAAAAAGACATGAAATAACCAACCAAATCGTGGAATATTTCATCTAAAAGTAAATTCAGGCTCTTAAAAGTTGGTATAGTCATGGCTTGGTTAGATATTTAATGAAATTACCTCAAAAAAGTGGGTTCTTGCTCTGACGAAGCATTTAATGACCCAGATGGCGATCCGGGGGCTTCTTTGCTAAAATCAACTGTCACATCACCGATGTGATTTGTGGGTTTCAGAATGGGCTAGTTTATGAATCACTTGCAGCCATCTTTCCAAGCAAAATAAGCGGGAACTTATTGAGGGATTCGTTGAAGCACAGCCTCTCTTGATATTTACTTCATACTCCCTATTGTTTTCCTATGATTCTGTGGTTTAACAAAAATC